TTACACTTCATATATCTTGTCTGTCAACTTTTATTGCCGATGGGAGCTGAGCTGGTTGATGGCACTAAGATGTGTTTTTCACATGTGTGCACTTCAAAAAGAACTGTACAGATCCCAGAACCCAGAGGACGCCCCCAGATCCCCAAACTTCAGCATTGAGAGACTTGTATATCTGCCACTTTGGACTGATTTTCCTTACGAGATACCCAAGAGCAGGACTGTACTGTATTGCTTTCCTCCATATTTTAATTTACACAAAGAGAGGTCTGTTGGTTGATTTATCTGAGGAATTGTCTGAGGGATTTAAAAAAAACAATAAGTAAATGTAAAGGCAAGTGTGATTTGTTGAGAAAGGGGAAGGTGTGAAACATCTTCTAGTAATATACAGCCTTCTGACAAGAACTTGGTTGGAGAATTAGGTGAAGCTCTGGAGAACGGCTCGCTAATTACATTATCACAGAGGTAGAAGCGCTTGTCAATTTCTTCCCACTTAGATTTTCCCCTTCACTCTCAGGAAAAGGGAGCTGCCAGACGGAATTTGAATTCAATAATATGCCAAGTGAACCGTCGGCCTGCCGTAAAAATACTGCACTCTCTGTTTGCAAGAAAAAAATCTCTTTTGAAGTCATGACTTTTGCAGAAACAATTTTGTAGCTGTAGAGTTAACTTGTGCATCCTTGTCAATAATAAATTCCATTTTGCTTTGCAAAACATTGGACAGTGCTGTGCAAACTTTAAATGAGCGAAAATAGGACACAACAGTATGTGTGCACTTTCAGTTGATATTGACGTTATTTTCCATTAAGGATAATAGCAACTCCAATGGAGGATTAAACTGCATGAGGCACTCTGGAGTTTTAAACGTTTTAAAAATCCAATATTTCATCACTCTGCTTTTTATTCTGTTATTTTGTTTTGTGCTCTTTATTGACTAAGAAGATGCCTACATTTAAAAAATATATATATTTATTTTTCCAAGGGTTCACAGCAGAAATGCTACATGGAGAAAATATTTTTTCATCTCTCAATCATCATTGCACTGCATTGCATTATATGTTTTGACAAAGTTTTCATCTGTACGTGAAAAACATAACTGACGTGTAAATGCACCCTAAGACATAGATGGTTATTGGGAGATACAGAGTGATAACTGATATTTATATGCATTTTATCTAAGTAGTCTGTTTTACTGTTATGAAGATTTCATTGACATTACAAGCATGCCTGTGATACAAGATATCATAATTGCATATTTTTTTGCAGTCTAAAAATTTTTGTGAAAAAACAAACATTTCGGTCACGTGACTTCTCAATGCCTAATGAACTCAGTAAAGGAGCAAAAAAGGGATTTTTTAAGAGCTCCTACCTGTACCGCGTGACCGTTGTACCACTTGACCCCTGCAGATTCATTTGGACGTTGAGAGTGTTGCTATCAAAACATAATTCCTAGTCCAAGGACGAGAACAGCTCCGAATAGAACGTCACGTGTTCAGTTTAGGCATCTGAATAAAACTGTTTTTTTTTCCGTCCATGAGTATGAGCTTCATATTCTCAAATATACTATATTAAAAAGCTGTAAAAAAAGATGTATCAAATATGATGCTTATCAAAAATACATATGCAAACTTCTTTTCTTTTTTTTTCTTTTTTTGTTTTTGTTTCAGTTAAGTGTTCCATATCAAAAAATGGTAACGCTTTAGATTACAGCCCGGAAAGTACTGTGTAATTAAGAGGAATTTACAGTGTAACTTGCGGTAATTATAGTGTACCTATAATGTACTTGCATGTAAGTATAAGGGAACAATATGTAAAGTTTGGGGAATAAAGGGGTAACAACCAGGAGAATAAAAAAAACATTTATTCTGTAAGTATTATAGAACTAGGGGGTACTTATTCTACTATTAACAATCTTACATTTGGGAGCATTTTAGCGCGAACATACACTGCGTACCTTTTTGTAATAATTGTGTGGGGGTTTTTTATAGCAAAAGTTCAGATGTTTAAGTTTGGGCAAACATGTTTCAAGGCAAGAAAAGCTAAGACTATTGCATTTTTTTTTAAATACTGGGAAATATATCTGGTTTCATGTGGTTACACTAGGGTAAGTGGTGCTTGTATAATAAATAAAGGTTTCTGAGTCAGTGATATAAGATTGTGTGTATGCATTTTTATTTTACTTACCCTGTAACTACATGGAACAAGAGGGTAACAAGCACCACTTTAATTTACGGCCCGCAATGTCACACTTACCCTGTAACTACATGGAACAAGGGGGTAACAAGCACCACTACATGAAACAAGAGTATCTTTCCCCAATATTTAAGCAAATGTTGCAATAGTTTTCGTTTTCAGTGCAATTTTGTTAAAAAGATTACGTTAAAAATGCATAGATATATACCCTGTAGTTTTTAAAAAGCCTATACAGTATGTACTGGTTCACCATTATTTCAAAAAGGTAGATACGCAGTGTATGTTCTCGCTAAATTGCTCCCAAATGTAAGATTGTTGTATCATAATAGTAGAATAAGTACCACTTAGTTATATAATACTTACAGTATAAATAATTCTCCCTGGTTGTTACCCCTTTATTCCCCAAACTTAAAATATTGTTCCCTTATACTTATATTGTAAATACGTTATAGGTACACTACCAAAAGTTAAGCTGTAAAATCGCTTTAATTACACAGTACTTTCCGGGCTGTAATCTAAAGTGTTACCCAAAAAATTCGCTTTTTTTTTTTTTTTTTACTATTACATGTCAGGCTTTACGGTGTTAATTCTCTCGCTGTTAAGGATGTGCTTTCTAAATGTGTGTTGCAACCATAATGGGTCAAAGGGAGGGTAACTTTATACAAGTTACTTCCTTAAGATGAATTGCTTTGTTGTATTCCTCATTTGTATAAAAGTATCTGCTAAATGAATCAGTAAATATAAATGAGTTGCACAATGTCAACACACACCATTAGCATCTTTTCTTTCTTTTTTTTTTTACTGTTGTTTTAGAGCTCCCAGACAGTGCCAGATGCGTGTTTGCATGCATGCCACAGGTGGCTGACCGGTAGGTGGGGAAATGCAGGAAGTCTGTGTGGCCGTTTGTGTGTGTCAGACCCAGCATGTTTTTCCCTCAGCAGAGGCGAGGTATCCTGTGTGTGTGCGGCCTGTCGCCCAGGGCGGCTAACTTTCAGGAACCCCAGTAGCAAAAACAGCACTGTGTGTTTCCTGGTCTCTTGTTCTGTTATCAGTGGACACGACACCCGCTCGTGCCCCTGCAGGTTTCCTAAACCACCATCCCTTTTACCTCCGGTGTCAAGATGTTGCCCTGTGATTGCCACAAGTAGCTTTTCTCTAACGCACGCTGTGCACAAAGAAGATCGGATTGAGTCCTTGTGATAACAGAGGGTCGGGTCTGTTTGTGCTGATCTGACACAAGCGTGTTTCATTCAGCCGGCGGCTCGCAGGCTCCCAAATTGAGAGGCATCTCACTGAGTTGTCTTTGTCTGAGAGGAACAAAGGCTCAAACCTGCACATCACAAACTCCGGTGAGAGAAGCCTTGTCAGAATTCCAGACTTTTCATCATCTCTGAGAAACCGTAACTACTCAAATGAGGAAATAAATAGCCAGAATTAAGCTCATTCTTGCAATTACATGAATAAATCCTCAATTGAGCAACTGAATCAAGAGGAAAACATTGTTATGAGTATAAGACATCACATTTTGGGCTGTGGCCAAGTTAATGGTAGCTGCCTGAATGATTTCATAATCCTGTTCCAGAACCTTATTGTAAAATACGCCCCTCTAGAATATACATATCTCACTTGAAGCATACAGCGTATGGGTCGGGTTGGGGTTAAAAGCAAGGTTTGAGAGAGAGCCTGCGACGCATTAACTTCATGAACGGCTGTGTGAAAGAGGCTGTTATCATCGGGCTGTAAACGGCGCTTCTGCTTTTCCTGGCTCGGCGGGCCGAGATGAAGTCCAGATGGTCGGGGAAGTGTTTGCCCAAGGATGTAACCAAATATTCCAGATTGAGGGGGGACCAAATGTAAAAGTTGAAGAAGGGGTCATTGAAAAACTCATATGGATTGACTACAAATCCATCTCTTTTTTTTTTTGGCTTGGGGGGGATGTTGGGGATATCCATGTCCCTGTTTACACCTGGTAAGATCTCTGCATTCTCGGGTGATCCGATCACAAGTGGACAGCTGAGAAACATTGGCGTTTACAATGTGTTTTCATGTCTCCTTTCGTTTTGATTTGTCATGTGAGAGTACCTGTCCTAAAGAACATTTATTATTTAAGCCCAAAGTATACTTCTTCTTTTTTTACAAGTACCGTTAGCTTACTTTTGTCAGTCTATGTGCTATTTCTCTCCAAAAGGTATGAATAAATAGTTTTATTTTTGTTGTTTTTTTGTAACACTGTTACGCTTGGTTGGAAAATTCAGGTGTGTACTGTGCTGATGACAAAATTTGCATAACATGCATTGTATTTATATAAAGTATATGGGCTTTATAGTATGTCTGATATCACATTTCACGTATGACTCCCTTTAAATTTCTGTTTTGGAAGCTAGTTTCCACCAGAGTTAAAAAAGTAATTAATTTTTATATTCCTCTTTATATCTCACAATTGCAACTCAATATCTCACAGTGTGATTTTATTTCTTCGTTTAATTTTTTTCATAATTAAAAAAAAAATACTCAGAAGTGGAAATGGCTTCTATTTATTTAGTGCTGTCCTGATGTTCCAGGTGTAAACAGGCCATAGGCAAGTGTTTGCTTAAAGTTACAGCAAGCTGTGTGACAGACCACAACAAGCTTTATCCATTATTATCCCATCCTTTTCTCATAATCTCTCATATGTCCCGCTCTATATGCTGTTGTTTATCCCATAAACTGCTGTACACATTTTATATCCATGCCTGTTGTGTTAGGCCACGCCCACCGCTAGAGAAAGCCCCGCCCACGCTGCACCTGGGTTTCCCGCCGAAGCTCGCCGACTAGAGGCAAAGTACCACAGCTTCTCCTAGCAGCAGGGTGGGCGTTAGAGGCTCTTCGCAACAAGCCGTTTTCATCACTACTTCGCTGTTCTCGAAGTATTTCTGACTCTTTTCGCACACCAGGATCAAACGTTTTCGCGTGTTTCGTGTTCATGTACTCGGACAGTTGAAGGAAAACGCCGCACTAAATGAGTTGAGCTCGAGACACACACAGCATCATCCGCTTGTCAGGTTCAGCTTCATCCGAGCCTCGAGCTCAACTGCCCTTCAGCACACTGGAGCGGTTCTAGAGCTGTGCACTGGAGTTTGACGGACACATTTTCTTCTTCGTCTTGGGAAGTACACGTTTATGACTGAGAAACATCACTAATATATCGACCGGAGTCGAGGACAGGAAATTAATTTTTTCTCTCACAACGCCGTTACGCATGGTGGGAATTTCTACGTCTTTTCAGTGTAAGTCGTGCAGTATCCTCATCTTTTTCTCTCGTGATCTCAGATGAATGCTAGTCTGTACACTTTAGCCACGTTTATTAATTTTTTAGAATGTTTTATTGTGCGGTTTGGGTAAATGACAAACACTTTATTTTTCTTTCGCCGAATATTGTTATAACTCGTTTCGTTTTGCCCACATTGCTTAATTTAATAGAACGTAAAGGTATATCACCAACAATAAATACTGATATGCAGTTTGTCATATTTCCCCATAAAAAGTTAAATGGTCACTTACAGTAATTGTTCATCGCTGTAGGATAAATCTTAACAAAATTGACGTTTAACAGGGTTTGATCGCGTTTAACTCTATTCGTAAACAACAAATAAACAACGCTCATACAAAGCGTTTCTTTCATGTTACGCGTATTAATTTCATTTGGATTTTATATCAAAAAAAAAAATCTTTCTCGTTTCGAGATATTATGTGTATGTTTTTTCCGTAACTATTTGTAATGTAGACACATGCATTTTCTGTAAAGCTGCTTTAAAACGATTAACCTTTTTGAAAAGCGCTTTACAAAATAATGTGAATTGAACTAAAGGCACATTGTGTAAGAAGGTAAAAAATACTATTTATCGCTGTAGATTGTAATAAAGATTTTTTTTTCTTGTGAAAATATATGGGCTCTGTCTACAATCTCACGTGCTCAGTAAATTCATTATCTTAGAGTTTATGGCCTTACAAATCCAACACAACACTGTAGGTCTTTATGCATCTTTTAATGCAGCTTTTAGATTTATTTTTCGTCATTTTCTTTTTTCATAAGAATATTTTTATTACACACATGTAATACCATCCATAATAATATATGAAGTCAACAGTTAAACATCAACTGTCGATCAGCATGCCATCTGTTGGGAGAATGCAATATCACCTCCGTCTATAAACACGGTCTCTAATAAGCTTGAGGACTGTTGCTGGCCAGTCCGCGAGATTTCCAAGCGTTGCAAATTTGATCAAATCAAATGTTTGATTACAAACACAGGTAGGCAAAATATCTGGTGTGAGACAGACAGAAAATTGTGACACCACAATGGATTTAAAAATGTTGATAAACCAGGTGTGAAGACGCGTTTGACAATAGGGATTTCACTTTGGATTAAGAAGCTGCTGTGTTTAATTGTGACATCACAATTGAGAAGATGTCTTTAACAATATTGATATAATTTGAGAAGATCCATTTACAATTGTGATGTCGCCATGGATTAAAATGCATCTGACAAGAGTGATATCACATCAAATTAAGATTAAGCTAAACAAATGTCTTTAACAATTGTGATATCAAATGTATTGAACAGATCCATTGACAGTTGTGACTTGACAAGATGAGTCTGACAATTGTGATGTCAAAGTTTGATTGAGAAGCTGTATTGACAACTGTGACATCACAATGGATTGAGAAGATGCGCTTATCAATTGTGACTGAGCCAGCTTTTTAAAAGCTTCTCCCGTCAAGCTCATCTTCTCAAATCCATCATGATGTGAATAGTCCACTCTCAGCGCTTAAGCTTTCTCTTGACTGAGGAGTTGAGGTTCTGAAGTTTAAGGCTGGGTGGTTAAAATGAAAATTAAATGGTAGATTTTTATTTCCATTGCTCTCAGGGGCAGTCCTTGTGTATTTAAGGCACACACAAAAAAATTGGTTTGGACTTTGGAGACCCTGTTCTTTGACGAAAGATGCTCGTTCTCATAGCTTGTGTTGCTCATGTCACAGATTTATGCAGTTTTTTTAAAACAGTCAGTTGTCTTGTACACATTCTCATCATAGATTGTCCATCTCAAGTAGATTTACAATTTATTTTCTTAAAGGCATCTCTACTGGTTGCTTGAAGATATGTTAATCTTTATTGATTTTATGTATGATTCAGAAAATGGAGGCTATGCTGGTCAAATGGAGGCTATGTAACTATGGCACTATGATTTGGTCATCCCCTCATTAATGTCATTCCCCTCTGCGGCTGTCAACATGAGATTCGAACTAGAGCCCAAGGGACAGTGCAGGTAGTGAACGTACCTTGATTAAAGGCAAACATGGTCTATGGTGGCTGGAGGTTAGGGTTCGGTTAGCGATGAGCAGTGTGTGTGTGTGTTTGAAGCCAGCATTAGCAGGCAGCAACATCTTCTGGCTGAGGCCATCTGCACAGCCACCAGCCGGCCTGCCTCACACCTGTTCCCCTCTCCTCCACTCCCACTGGCCTCACACGGGTCAAACGCATGAAACCAGACACTGCCACAGCATAATGAAGAGATGACTCGGCTGCCCACACCAACACGCACAGCTGTGTTTGAGAGAGATATGGAAATACTCATCCATTATTTTCAAATATGTCTGGGAGATGTTTTCTCGTATTGGTTTAAGCTTATATTTTATTTAATAAATATATTCTGAATTAATTATCTATATGCATCATGCACCACTAGAAATGAATTAACCATGCATTGCAAAATATTAGTCTTTTTTTTTTTCGTGTTCATGAAAGACAATGTTCCTCCACTGATAAATGTGCTTCTCATTTACCTTAAACACAGCAGCATAAAAACATTTGTAGTTGGTGCTGCTTACTATGTATTTTAAATGACGAACAGCAGACGTTCTGGCTGAAAGCCAAGCGTGTTATCATTGCAGTAACTCATTTCATTAGTGATGTCATTAACCCCATACATAAACTGGCAGACATTCTCACCAGACACTTGCACAAATACACAGCATGTCTCGTTGCTTCACAATTTCTCTTTCATGCAAATTTACATCAAAAACATACTCTTTGTGCATAAGGATACAGAAACACACTGTAAATTTTGCAGCGAGTAACTATACGTGTCCAAAAAGGTCTAATCTGACAGCCCATATAATTTCTCCGGATGAATAAAAATTGTAATAACAAAAGAGAAGAAAAACGATCAAGTTCAGTTACACGACATCAGCCAAGTGCATTATATGCGCTCTTAATGTTTCAGCTCTTAAGGGAAACATTCCCAAAATGCATTAGCGGTATTTCACTCACATCTCTTTCCATTGAGCTATATCATGTATGAGGCTCTTTATATTCATTGAGGGCTACTGTTGGACTTGCTGACACACTCAATCTTGCGCAGTAAATAAGCGACGCGAGATGTTGGGATTTGTCACGGGGCGAAAGACCCCTTATTTGCGAGGGCTCTAGATTTGACTCGACGTGAGTCTCTGTGGAGAGCAGGCCATGAATGATTGAGGCGGCCGCCATCTCCCAGAATCCATGCTTTGGATCGATAGGGGGCATAATGGCTACAAATTTTTCAACAGAGGAATTTAGCGTGTGGTTATTGGATTTCATAAAACATGAAAGCATAATGTGAGAGAAGAGGATGATTGGTTTTTATTGTATCGTAGGGCTGGAGTGTACAATATAACGAGGCAATATAAAGTCAAGGGGTGTGTGTAAGAATTTACATGGGGCTTTTTTTACAAAACAATTTTGTCCTAGATATTAGATATTAATTTGTACAAATGTAATGGATATAAAATTTATATATATATATAATTAACAGATGTTTCTGATCAGGGAATTATTCAAATCCTTGAAACGGATGAATATATAGCAGAACTAAATACTTTTGTGGTGTCTTAAAACAGCTGAAGGATTCCTATAAAGTTGGATCTGAACTTGCAGTGCGGTCGATCTGAACCTGAGCCGTCTTTGTGTTCCACACCAGGGTTAACTAAACAAACCGCTGCTCCAGCTGACAGGTGTCCAGGCTGCCCAGCCTCGCTCACTATCTGTCTTCCTCTCTCATTTACTCTCTCTTTCTGTTAATCCAAGATTCACTTGCCAATTATCTTCTCTTTTATTATATCTCCTACCTCTCTTATTCCAACACATACTATTTTTCACTCACATCCATCAGCCGCACTCACACACACACACAAACGCAGTCACTCACGCGCACGCTAAACTACCTCTCTGTCTTCTGTCTCTGTCTCTCTCTCTCTCTCTCTCTCGCTCTCTCTCTCCCCCTCTGTTTATTTTCCTGCCTCCATCTGGACCAGGCTGATATTGTAATCGCCCTAATGCACATTGCCTTCCCCTTAGACACACACACAATGTGCCATCCTGACAAGCCCCTTTATATTTCAGATAAGCCGGGGATGTGTGTTTAATGAATACAAAGCCGCGGTGTGTCGCCGTGCACTCTGCCAGAAGGTAATCTTATTGAATAGGTGCTTTTCAGCGATGCAGAAGACGATAGCAGTGCAGGAGTGAAGATGTAACCTGTTATCTCGTGCCTCCTCTATTTTCCCGTCATAGAATTTACATTTAAAGATTAGCTGTAAAAGGGTAAAAGATTCAGGGTGGTGAAGGTGTCAGGATGAGTGTCTATGTGTGAGTTTCGAAGGGGGTTGGGGGGGTGGTCGAAAGGAGCATGACTTTAGCAGGAAGGAGTGAAGGAGACAAAAAAACAGGGTCTGTCATACAGGCTGTATCTGGCCTGCGTTTCAGCCTTGCGGCATCGCTATCTCTCTCCAGACCGACTCTGCTCCCTGGGAACAGAGATTAGCACATTGTTATCTGTAATTGGGTTTTGTCTGTGGATTCAAGGGCTGCTTTTGCCAAGGAGAAGGTGAGAATGGCACATGACCAACATTACGCTTTGGCATATCAGTGTAAATGCATGATTGATGGAGAATATGGACTGTGTAATGGCTTCATTAGGGTTTACTTCTTTTTATGAGGTAACAATTGCTAAGGGATGGACTCGGCTCTTGCAGAAAGTCTATAAAGCTCCTCTATAAAAAAGGGTGTTCGTCAGTGACAAACTGCCAAGTAGACATCATAACATCTTTTTCAGTTATCCTTTTGTGGTATGACAAAAAAACTTGTATACTTGTACACAACATAATATAGTAATTTTGCTTGAATTTCAAAAACAACAAAAAAATATTAATATATGAAAATTTTAATAATAATTGTTGTTTTTTTAC